CCACTTGTTTCACCTGAAACATCATAGACCCAAATGTACATTCGAATCTAAACGATGGGACCTTTTCCCATGCGCGAAATTCTCAACCAATCAACGCCCTTTAAACGGTCCATAACTGACCGAATATATCGCTTACTTCTTCCGAATTTTTGAATAGTGATCTCTGATTGGTTGACAAAATTTTTGCGCACTCGGTCTTTCGAGCATGCAGGTTCCGCCAAGAATTACTGCGGAAAACAAGGTAGTAGGGAAATTCAATTATTCACCTATTTTGAAAACGTTTGCAAGTTGGTTGCAATGAAAATGAGCAGAAAACATTTTTTTTTACTGTTTTTCATATTTCAGATGACTCGTCTAGAAAGAAGAAACATGAAGGCGACAAAAACTACAATATCCTGTTCACCTTTATGACAATCTCTTCATTTTCAGTGTGACTTTTCAGCGAATTAACTTTAATTTTCAGTGTGATTAATTAATAACACTCCAGCTGATGACTTACTTCAGTGTCGTTATCGTAGAACACTTTAGATGGGGATGCGAACGTGAACTTCATCTTCTTTGACACCTCAGTGGTCTTTGTAGAAGCGGCTGCCTCCTGGGCCATGCCCCTCGTCAATAAAACAGACGACATACTGGGGGGACTAGTACAAAGCCGACGTAGTAGGGACGAGGCGGACCTGGACAGCATGTTTTGGGCCATTATCTGAAAATGAAAAAAGACTTCATCATACCAATACGGATGTTGTTTTGGATAATATATAGCATACTGCTAAAAGCTTTCTTTAACTAAGCATTCATTTTTTTAATTACAACTCCGCATCGTTCATCGCAAATCAACCTTCCCCCCCCCCCCCCCCCCCCTACGTAAACTCACAAAAAAGATTAAAATCAATTTTCCTTAAAACAAAGCAAAATAAGGTCACTAAGCCTCAAACTTGAGCCGAAACATTTAGGGACAAAAAAATTTTAAGCGAAAAAAAGAAGGAATTTATAAAAATCAGACGAAGTGAATAAAAATTTTTGAAAAATAAAAAAAACTTTCAATTAGTGAAAATAGCTTAAGCACAATGAAAATTGCTCAAGCGTAAAAAAACTGCAACTAAGCCGACCAAACATAAGCGGACAAACAGTAGGCCGACAATTTTTTAAACAAAAAAAACTGAATAAAAAGTTTTTGATCAAAACAGGTCCTGGTCAGCTCGAATCTACGACCTTTGCCAACTCAGGTTCAGTTTTTACCTCTAGACCAAAAGTGCCCGAGAACCTAAGATACTCGAAGTTGAGATAATTCTGTTCAACAATTTAACCCGAGAAGTAAATTATCCGATTTGATAATGCTTCTAGTCGCAAGCTTAAAACACGGATAAAGATGCGCTAACACTAGTTGTAAAACTACAAAAATCAGCTCTATAAAATGGAAAAGAAAAAAGTAAATAAGCCCCGAATTAGTAAAACTTATGATGTGTCAGATTCGAACCTGTGACATCAAGATTTGGCGTCACACGTTCTCTCATCTGCGCCACGGGTCCTTGAAAGATTGCGAAAACTAGCCAAAAAGAAAAAGGTTATGGATCTGCCAATGCTACAGAGTGTAATTATAGCAAAAGTGCCACCAAATGACCACTTTATATTCGAGTTAACTTGGGAAAAAAGTCAAAATGACACACAACGCTCGTTAGTGCAAATACCAAAGCTTTTTAGCAAAAATTCTTAGACTTGAATTACCTGCACCAATACAGGAATATAACAGACAATTACATCAAGAAGTATCGAGCAACGTTGCCTTTGTGAAAAAACACCGTTTTTTTCAAAGCGGGTTGGAGAAGTTGAAATCAATTTTTCTAAAACAATCTCAATATGATCAATTCCAATTGGCCATAAATTAATAGAAAAAACACAAGGTAAATAAGCTGACAGAATTAAATGCGACACCCAAAAAACCACAATGCAAAATTTTGCACGTATCACCTAGAAAATAATTTTAAAAATCTAAGAAAGGAAAACCATAAGTCGAAGAAAAAACAACTACAAAAATCTGAATTTAGAAAGATATTTCACCTAGAAGTTATGGGGTTGAAAGATAACCAATTTGAGATAATAAACACGGGGCATTTTTCATGCTATCAACGCGTAAGCGGTGAATTAATCCGGCTCAGGAATCGTTCCAAATTGAATTGAGGCAAAATTCTTGCTCAAAAGAATACGTTAGTATATGCTAAATACTAACTAAAATATGCTAAATTTTGACCAAAATAGAGTATACCCTATTGAAGATATCGACTCCCAGAATTCAAATGCGAAAAGATAGTTTACCTTCAATTTTTTTCTGGAGTTTGAAAATGACCAATATTGCCATGCTCTGGACTAATTTATGCGCGCTGAGTAGCGTGCCGAGCGAGAGGCGAAAAAATTCTGGTTGCTAAATTTTTTCCGAAGTCCCCCTTTGGTATAATTTTACAACCATTTTTGGCTGACCAACCTCAAAATTTTCTAAAGGCGCCAATATAACTAATTTTGAAGGGGAGCGCACGCCGAAAAAATGCAATTTTTTTAATCAAAATTTTCCAAAAAGTACCCAAAAACGCCTTTTATGGCCTGTTTTTTACATTAAGGGTCCTACACAGAAGCGAAATGGCACTTCGCATACACAAGCAAAAAATATGACCAATAACGCTACTGGGAAAAACTGAATGAGTAAAACTCTGCGTGTACAAAATTTCTTAAGTGACGCACGCCAATTATGAGTCGACATAATTGCTAGGTGACGCAAGCCAATTATGACGCATTAGCAGAATCAGCCAATTTGAAAAAAAAATTTACCAACTAATTTACCAAAATGCCTCAATTTATAGAGCGGACGCATTTTAACTAGTATACGAAAAAGTTCATTAAAAACATCCGACCCTGCCGACGTTCGAAACCTCTTACTTTGTTGTGGGTCTCCTTCCCTACCTCTACGCTACAGATCCATGGCACCTTGAAGCTGAAGTGCTATTGGTAATATAATAGTCTGTGTTAATATCCTTAGCATTGGCTGTACCCCCCCCCCCCCCGCTCCCCCCCCCCCCAATAAAAATTTTTCCGCCGCCGATTATGATGAGTAACGAGATTTAAGCGTACCGAATTATAACGCACAACAAAATCGCTTCAAAATAATTGAGATTTGAGGCAGATTAAAAAGTCGCTTTATTTTCCTTATTACTGCAAATATTCACACAATATTCGATATTGTCCAAAATTTATGGTTTTTCAATTTACTAACCAAAAACAATTCGATTCAGATACATAAGGTGGCATTTGGACCATTCAGGGCTTTGGCCTGATTACAAACGATCTTGTTTGCCTTTCTGCGTAACAAACACGATGACAGAGACCAATGCAAAACAACAGCCTGATATTTTTATTTATAAATTCCCTTTTGCCTCATTACACAATCTTTCAATGGCTTTTGGTAATTCTGAACCTTCCTGGTTGATAAATGAGTTTTCTCCTCTATCCATTTTCTTGCCAATTGTTGAACAATCCAGCATTTACAAGCTGTTGAATTTCATGAAAAAAAATATATTATATTTGGTAAAAATTCACAAGTAAATATTAATTCCGCTGGGTAACTTAAAATCCATTTTCTAAATTAGAATTTGATCACCTCAATTTTACAGTTTTGCTGTTCAATAGTGGAATTTGCGTTTCTTTTATTATCAAATAAAAGAAATGAAATGAACTATAAAAGAAATCAATCCAAACAGCGAAAATTGAACGTTTCTTGTAAAAAGTCAAAACTACTTATATAAGAGTCTTCACTACGTTCATTGACTCTTATCAGAAAACAATTTTAAAAATCAAGTTCTACTTACAAAAGAAAATTATCTCAAAAAAGGCGCTTAAAGAAAATTTAACTGGATTAAAACCAAGTTTTCACGGCTTAAAAAATCTGATCTTCTTGAAATAAACCTGCTCGATCGCTATATTTGCTTGAAAATAGACAAAAAATCAAAACTGAAAGCGCTTTAATATGATATGTCACTCGGAACATTCCGATGATTAGTTGTGGCTCCTAATTATGCGTGGTAAACAAAAAATCAAAACATCCGAAGACAAAGTTCCTCACAAATTTCAGTGGTCGGAATAAAAAAAAAATGGACGTGAACAAATTCTAGGCTAACAAAAAGAAGCCACATGACCTGAATTAGTAAAGTTTACTTTGTTGATAAAAAAAACTATTAACTTGCCCAATATATTTTGAGCTGTTCTCAAATATTGAAACTCAACAAAGAAACTTGAGATTAGGTAGATACAACAGTAGACTGATCTTATAGAACAAACTTCGCTGGTTTACAGACTTGATAAATTGGATGTTTGAGAAGCTTCGAGCATAATTGAGATTTGTATGCATTTTATTTTTTATTGGCTTCTTGGAATCTACAGAAACATTCAAGGATTTTCACCTTATCTATCTCAACTGTACCAGGTACGGAAAAAATACTGAAATGAGGTGTTTTTATGCTTTGGTACTTGATTGCGATAAAATAAATTTCTATGATACAAAAAATACAATAGTATGATTTATACAGAGGCGAAGCGGAGCTTCGCATCACTTGCGATACAACGCCAGTGCAGCATTGCAAGCTAGTGAATAGAAAATGAAACGGAATAAATTCGGAAAATTTTTGTTGGGAAAAGGGAAGATAATTTCAGAAAAACAGAAGAAAAACACAACCACCAGTATTGAATAAGCTTTTAATATTTACCGAGTGGAACCTAAGCAGACAAGTGGATAGACGCCCATTGATCCGAAAGCAAAAACAATGCCATAAAAATTGCTGTCAAAAAACTTTGAGCAATTAAGTTTTAAAACTGAAAACTTGCAACAGAAACTACTTGAAACATAGCCAACTGACAGTTGGAAAAGAGTAATGAAGGCAAGGAAACTAAAATTAAAACTGACTTGTTTTTTCAAAAACCTACAAGTTACGAATTTCGAAAAAATAGATGGCCTTGAAGCTCTTCGAATTTGTAGAACAAATTATGATAGACACTTAATTTGTTAAATTAACCCAATTTGAGAAAACTGGATCAATAGGTAAAACATTTATTTCGCTGGGAAGTCTGATAATTAATTTCCATTTTCGAAAATAGAAGTCAATGACGTTTTTCGTGGCTTTCACAATTTTGCTGTTCGACAGTGGAGTTTGCCTTCCTTTTAACAATAGAAATAAACTAAAAATTAGCGAAAAATTAAAATTAAGCGTGAAGAAATTTCAAGACTTTTTCCTGAAAAAAAAAATAGCAAGAGTCTTACTCAAATATTTTTTGCCTTTGAAGCGACACAAAATAAAGTAACTGATGCAATAAAAAAAGGCAGGCAAACGAAAGTCCGACAATTCAAATTTTTCCGGAACAAAAATCAATTTCATACATACTGATAAAAAGGTCCTGCCGGGACTTAAACCCCATACCTTAGGGTACAAAGGCATCTGAGTTACCAGAGGCGGATCTAGGATTTTTTTGAGGGGGAAGGGCGGCTTTTCAAAAAGAAATCGAAAACTTTATCGACCTTTTTTTAGGTCGACCAAATTGATTATCCGAGCTCTCCCAAGTCACTATAAAGACCACATTTTGCCGCATGCAAGTTTTTGAAAAAAAAACAGGCCAAAAAGGCGTTTTTAGGCACTTTTTGGAAAATTTTGACAAGCGCTACGCCCTCAAAATAATATATTTTGGCGCCAAAAGCGCCTTTAGAAAAACTTTAGGGCCAGTCAGCCAAAAATGGATATCGCAACATAGTACAAAGGGGAGACCCTTTGGGTCGGCAGGGGGTCGAATCCCCGAGAGGAAGAAGCATCCGCCCCCCTAAATCCCCAGGTGTGCGTTACCTCTAGGCCAAGTAGGGAAAGGTCTCAAAGTTAGTTAAGTTCATGAATAAAGCAACTGCACAATTTCTTTCAGCAGTGATGCGTAAGAAAACTTGTTTACAGGGAAAAAGTATAGTTCCCGATTGCACGACACTTGCTTGCTCTCGCAAGTGTAATAAAGCCAAAAAGTTTTATACTGCACTGTTTTTCAATAAAAAGAATCTAAATAATCTAATTTCAAATATACTTTTGATTAGCTTTATGATTAACTATTTCTCGCCCATTTATAATGACAAGAGAAGTGCAAAGACTACGTAATCCTTTGAGTGATAAATTTACAAAGCATGTTATTCGCAAATGCATACAGACACTCTTCACTATACCATTTTTCATTTAATTTAGTTAGCACTCTTAATCATTTCCACAATCCGCTTTCGCCAATCTTCGTCTTTGTCTAATTTAACAAATCTCTCCTCTGCCGACGGGAAAGAATGAGTCACATTATATTCCAAACCCGCCCTGTCTTTGATCACATGTGAGAACTTGTCTGGGTGGGCGGTTGCCAAAACAACAACAGGGTCAATATCTTCAAGCATATTGGCACACTCAGTATTCTGGACCAAGTTGAAGTCAAGGGTGTTTTTCTTGTCAGCACCGGTCTCTGCTGGCCCCTGAAAGCAAAATGATTTGCAATAACTTTGTTCAACCTCTACAATGACAACGCTTTCGAAATTTTCAATTGAACAAGAAAGTTTTCATACCAATAAAATTAAATTTCGAGCTCGAGTAGTTGTTTCTACAGCAAATTTTGAAAAACGTTAATGACTACAGAAACTGAGTATCTCAAAAATCCAGTGAATCGCATTTTTCCTTAGTTTAAACTTAACTTGCCCAATTAAATACTAAGAACCAAACGAACCTGGAGATGCTTTTTCAACGCCACAAACCCAACTGCTGTATGTGGGCAAACGACTAGCCCCTTATTATTAATACTGCTGTCATGATTCCTATCACTTGAGTTACTCCGAGTGTTTTGATGCTTTGAGGCGTACTGGTTCTGGTTGAGGTGCTTCATCATGGCAATCGTTTCTTCATCCGAGGCGACCTCACATCCACACACTTGTTCACGCAGACTCGCCAAGGCCTACAAAACAAAATTACACAAATGCTATCAAATGTTTTTGTTAGCCTGAAATTGTCTTGGAAACCCTCGTATCTTCCTTCATATGACATATCAACAGGTCTACATTATAGTGGTCTATCCTTGTAAAACTTGTATTTTTGATTTTCCAAAACACATTCAAAATAAGGTTTATTTTTTTTAAAAATGACAGTTAATCATCAAAAATATCATAAGGAACTCCGAAAAAAATTTCACAGAGGCGAAACGGAGCTTCGCACCACTAACGATACAATCGAGAAAAGAAATAGTAAAAAATCTAAAACATCAAACAGACAGTTTGGAAAAGAGTCCTGGCTCTTTGAATAGTGGTAAGGCGTTCATCACTATGCGATCTTCAGATCGTGTAATCAATGATAGTGTGTGATTAAGAGCTCTCGCTTGACCTCTAGCTTCAGGTTTATCACAGCCTGACTGATTTCGGCTGAATTAGTAGTACAAAGTTCTAGACATGAAAAAAATGACTTTGAGTCGCAAAAATAAGAGCATCTTTCAACAAAATAACTCAGTCTGGATTGTGGGCAAGTAAAGAAACGATTTAGGCTTAGAAAGGCTGGATATCCTTTCATAGATTCTCAGCGAATCGCAGAAAGCACAATTATTATGAACGCGAGGAAAAAAAGAACTTCATTTTAGTTTTAAAGACTATATATTTTGAAAAAGACTTCATATTTTGAAAAAACTTTAAAGAAAACAATATATGGTCTAAGCTCTTTGAATTTCAAGACTTATTTCGGATTAAAACTTTTTGATTAAATTAAATCAACTGGATAAAAAGGTAAATTTAATTAATACGCTAGGAAATCATTTGATTAATTTCCAATTTCGAAACTAGAGGTCAAAAAACACGTTTTTTGGTCACCTTTATATGTTTGTTGATCGATAGTGGAGATTGTGTCCTTTTAACAAAGGAAAAGAACTGAACTGAAAATAAATCAAAAATCAAACCGCAAAAAAAAATAAGTTTGAGCGTGAACAAATTTTATCTACGTTCATGACTCTTAAAATCGGAATTGCCAAAAAACTAGATGTATCAAAATGAATAAAACTATTTTTGAAAAAAAAGGCAAGACAATGAAATGTGAAAATAGCATCTGAAAAAACATGCTAGCGGTAGAAAAAAGCCAAAAGAACATGAGCAGAAACCGTTTTAGCCGAAAAGAATTCAAAAAGACATAAAAGCGAAAAAAATCGGGTGCCTCTTCCCCTCAAAATACCCACACACACGCGATCAATTTCTTCGGTCAACAGACGACACAATATAAGACCACTAAGCCAATAAAATATAGACCGAAATAATATGTGCATAAGAAAGTTTTTAAGCAAAAAAAACATATACGAAATCTTGAATAGATTTCATATACGAAATCTTGAATTACAAACAGCAGCAGTAAATTAAAACACAGCCAACAGACAGTTGGAAAAGAGTCAAAAAACGCAAGTAAATAAAAAATACTGACTTGCTTTGTGGCAAAATCTTAACTTTCAAATTTCAAAGAAAAAAAAATAGATGCTCTTAAAACTCTTTGAATTTTTAAAACAATTTATGATTGGCTCTTTTATGATAAATTAACCGAATGTTGAAAAACTTAATCAAAAAGTTTATCCGCTGGGAAATCTGAAAATTAAAAATCACCTACGAAACTAGAAGTCGATCACAATTTTTGTGACCTTTACACTTTTGCTGTTTGATAGGGGAGTTTGCCTTCCTTTTAACTAAGAAAATAAATTGAGCTTAAAATAAAATCAAAAGTCAAACCACAAAAAAGAAAAATTGAGTCCTGAAAAAAACTCATCACGACCTATATAAAGGTCTGAACTACACTCATGGACTCTTAAACACAAAAATCAACTATATTATACATTGCGTACAGCAAAAAAAAACAATTCTACGATGTGGCAACTCAGACAACAAAACACAAGCAGACAAATAATGAGCGCTCAATATTTTTGAAACGGAATTTTCCCCGTTTGAAAAGAAATCAACTACTATCAGATTCAAACACAGGACCTTTGCCGTTCCACGCGTATTCGTTACCTCTAGACAAAGTGTACTTGAGACGCATAAAAAGATTTGAATTCATGATGAACTGAACTTAAATGAACCATTTCTTATTTTGACCATTACGGGAAAAACGTCTAGTACCCGCAAGCAACAGTTGCAACCGCAAGTCTAACTAGTAACCGGTTGCAATACACTTTTTATCGCAAGTGTCAAGAAGAAACCCCGCAGAACGATTCAAGAAGAAACCCCGAGTCAATCCATGTCTACTGGACTTCATCAATTTACACTTACCTTACAAGGCACGTTGATTGGCTCTGCTCTTTTCAGTTTCTGCAGTGCGTGTTGATCATACAGGCCAGTGTTATCACGAGGAGACAAGAGGAACAGTATTCTGGTGAGAGCGGGACTCCACTGACTGTCCATCGCATTCGACACTGTCTGTCTCTGATTTCCACTCTCAACCACAATCACACCTAATTAAAACTACTACGATGACTCACGAATCTCTACGTATCTCCTTATTTGGTTACTCTGTTACTCATTTAGGCTCTTTTCAGTCCCACCTTTGATTTTTCTGAAAATCATTATATGAAAGTCTATTTAAAATTACTTTTCTAGTTATGAACTGCATTAAAACGTGTCAGCGCGAACAGGTGAACAAATTTTTAAACATTTCTACCATCAAATTTGTGAACAATTTTTGACCAGCTTTGTTTTGTAATTTTACGAGGGGGTGGGAAATTGAAAGAGCCCTCGTTTATTTTATGAACAAGTTATCTAAGCTAAACCAATTTTGGTATTAATTTACCGCTTTCTCATGATAATCATGTGATCGATAATTCATGTCATGAATACCCCACTTCAACGCCATTATTAAGAAAAAAACACAGCTGCTGTGAACACTACGCACTTTCTTCACAAGTTCCTACGACCATTTAAATTAGCACCATTCATCAAAGTAGACAACCCTCGTATAATCTTACCAAAAATGTTGTGGTTGCTTGGAGTTGTGAAGGGGTCCAATTAGTGGATGGGAAGGGAGTTCGCCTATCCCACCCCCTTTAAACCCTAGCAGTGGACTGAAATAACGTTTGTTTTTACCTGTATGGTAAATAGTGCGGAAGAATGCGTTAGAGTTATTGGCAACCACGATGTCCAATGGCAGCCCCATTCTAACTGCAAATAGAGCACTGCAAACATTCCCACATGCACCTAAACACATGGACAATACATTCAAACACATCATTGTTAAAGGCTAAATTCGAATCATAATAAACATCATGCTCCAAAACTTTTGGGTTATCAAACAGCAATTCCTAAGCTGGCAAGGGACTTGATATTGAAGTTTTCCAAAATTTATTCAAATAACATCCGACTTCGATATCTACCGCACAGTAACCTGAAAAAATGAGTCGTGGGTAAACCTTTGGTTTTTCATAATCGACTATACAATTTACCGCCCATATCAGTTTAGAGGGAGAAAAAAAACAAAATCAATTTAGGGGGAGAAAAAACAACATCTATTAAGGGGAGAAAAAAACGAAATCAATTTAGGAAGAGAGTTTTTCGTAAATTATATTTGAAAATAGCCTAAATTGATTAAATTAATTAATGGCAAGCGTAACAATGATAATAGAAAAAAAATTAAAAAGTTGTCTTAGGTGATTAACAGTTATGCAAATGCGATCTCTTAAAAAAAATAAGTCAACCTATTAAATTTGGGCGTTTTTCAAATTTCTAACTTTATAGCAAAATACTTTCAAATTAAATAGATGGATAGCGGGAAAATTCTATGGCAGGTCACTTAGAGAATGTACGGTTGATCCAATTTTAATCCTCAAACCCACCTGTGATTTTTGGAATGTTCTTCTTTTCTTTACGTATACCAAATATAACAAGGATATCCGGTTGCTGTGCGAATAACACAAAATGTTCCAATGTTACTACTAAACTGATTTCAGAAAAAAAAGCAATCATAAAATTTAAATATAAATTTTCTGTTTTTGTTCCGACCAGCGAATAGAAAAATTTCAACGACGATGCTTAAAATGGTGTTACAAAAAACATGAATTGAATGATGAGGATTATGTTTTTTACTTGAATAAAAGCAAACTTTTGCGAATTTCACTGACGTTATTTAAACACGATTTATTTTTGCTGAATAACATTCTTAATAACGAGTTGCCGATAAATTTTCTTGATTTTTGGGCCGACAAGGGCCCTGATTCAAATCGAACGGGAAACAAGGCGTTTTTGATTACCGTGTAGCAGAAATGTCAAACACCCTCGCGAGATCGAACAATTTGCCTGGCTATGATCCTTTTCAAGAACCTGTAATCTTTAAGAATTTGAACCTGTTATTATTTGACAAACTACAAACATTTAAATACTCGATTAATCCAAAGTCATGGTTTTTAAGTTTATTTAACTAACTTTGTTATCAATGACTATGAGCAACTAGCTCCCTCCTTGAGGGTTTAATTCAATCTTATTATGATTGAAAATGGGGAGGAACTTTGTATTCGGGTGTTTTAGTTTATTTCTTTTTTTGTTTTCCAAGCAAAATCAGGTACAACAATCAATTATCGGAAAGGGTTGCGTGATATACCATATTGAGGCCATTTCAGTCGTGATTAATTCCACACTAAAAATTCCCGAACAATTTTTCTGTCGAAAAAAAAACCGGTTTGAAACTTATGAGTTTTCGTCCTATTTCGAGCAAATAAAACGAGCGGTCAGGCATACAACAGCTTAATTAGGCAAAATTTAAGTCCTAAAAACTTAACTTCAAGCAGTAAAATTACTTTTTGGAGTTTTGTAGCTCCATTCTGCGAACCAACAACTTCAAAAAATTTGAAAATTTTCAGCAAAAAAATGAAAAAATATTTTTTTTTGTTGTTCTAGTCAATTTTTACAAAAAGTTTGTGTCAATTATGCCTAAATTATAGTTTTACATCAGACTTTTTTATCCGCCCATGCAGCAAATAACTTCACTAACTTGTAAAAAAAACTTTTCTTGTAGATTTTAAAGACTATGGTCGGAACATTCTGTGCTACTTGCAGAGTAATTAGCTGTCCTTGTTTTTTTGGTGTCCACACAAAATCAGGTGCCACAAAAAATTATCGGAATGGGTCGGATAATATATCATTTTGAAGCCCTTTCAGTCGTGTTTTGAACGACATTAACAATGTCCAAAACTTTTTTCCAAGGTCGAGAAAAACCGGTTTGAAATTTATGCTTTTTCGTCTAACTTCGAGCAATTAAAGCAAGTAAGCATGCTTATTTAGGCCTAAATTAGGCCGTTTATAATAGCTTATTTATTCTTAATAGATTTACTTCAACATAATTAGTTTTTGGAGTTTTATCAACGCCATTTTGAGCATCAAAAACTTCAAGAACTGAACAAATGTTTGCAAAAAACTGAAAAAACATTTTGCTTTTTTGTTTTTTTTATTCGTTTTCCTCAAAAACTGTTTTACAGTTTGCAAATTTTACCATGGCTGTCGAATATGCCTAAGTTTTAGCTTTTTGGTTATTCTTTTTATCACACAAAACAGTAAAAACGACAAAAAATGAAAGAAAAGTTTTTTAAGACTACGGTCGGAATATTATGTGGTACTTGCACGGTGACAGGCTATCCTTGTTTTGAGAAACGATGATTGCATTAGGTGAAGTTATTAAAGAAGAAATTAACTTGTGAGGCCTCTCATCAAATTTCGTCCGAAAAACGGGAAACCATAGCCAATAGACAGTTGGTAAAGAGTCAATGAACGCAACTAAAAAAAACACTGACTTGTTTTTTGAGAAAATCTCAACTTTCTAATTAAAAAAAAAGACAAAAAAGAATTGATTTATTTTCTGAAAAAATCTCAACTTTCGAAAAAAATCAGATGGCCTGAAAGCTCTTTGAATAATTTAGGATTGACTTTTTTTGATAAAATTAATCCATTTTGAGAAAACTGAATCAATAGAAAAAACTTTCATTTCGCTGGGAAAACTGATAATCAAGTTCTGTTTTCGAATATGGAGTCGATCACGTTTTTCATGACTTTCACGCTTTCGCTGTTCGAAAGTGGAGCTTGCCTTCCAAGGAAATGAACTTAAACAGACAAACCGCGAAAGACATACTTTGAGCCTGAACAAGTTTTAAAACTTTTCCTGAAAAAACATAGCCAATCGAAGATTGGAAAAGAGCAATGAACGCAAGAAAGCAAAAAAAACGACTTTTTTTTGAAAAAATCTAAAATTTCGAAATTCAAAAAAAAGTGGCCCTTTAAGTTCTTTGAATTTCTAGAACGATTTATGATTGGCGCTTTTTGATAAGATTCACCCAACTTGAGAAAACTGGATCAACAGGTAAAGTTTTTATTCCGCTGGAAATCTAAAAATTAAATTCAAACTTCGAAAGTAGAGATCGTTCACGTTTTTTTGCACCATTTCCCTTTTAGTTTTTGGAGAGTGCTATTTACTTCACTTTCAGCAAATGAATTTCAGTTGAGTTCAAAAAGTGCAGATGCACCTAAAAGCATTCATAAATGCATTAATATGTATGAATGCACATCTGTAGTTATTAGAGACTTCTAAAACTTTTCCTGAAAAAACTTTTAAAATCAGCAAGATCTATATAAGAGTGTTCACTAAGTTCATTACTCAAAATCATCGCGACCTATATAAGAGTCAGAACTACGTTCATTGACTCTTTAAAAAATTCGAATAGTTTTTTTTCTCGAAACGTGACAATTTTTTTGATTATTTTTTAAAGAATCCCAATCAGCAACTAGGGCTTTAATATGATAGTAGATTTTCACTGAGGTTGTCAAAATTGGCTAAAAATGATACTGCACCATGGTTCCTTCCAGTGAGTTTCAGTGGCGTGGTGGGAACAATGAAATTGGGCATTATGGTAAACTTACTATATTATTCATGACATTGGTGGCGTGTGACACAGCCGAATACACGGATGGCCAAAAAAATTCACTTCAATGGCAAGTAACAAACGCTTGCTCCGATCGATGTGAACACATTCCCCAAGAGTAATTTTGTGCGCCAAATTAAGTATTAGCAATGAAGCTTTGCATCATTTTTTTCGGCTAACAGGTAACGATTTTCACTATCGCTGTGCTGGGCTGTATGCGTGTACACAATCATGAACAGTTAGTGTCTTGGTACTGAACAGCCTGCGACACTTAACACCCTGATGAACTTATCTGCCTATTTTGAAATCTGATATTGATTCAAGTTTCCCAGACTAATTTATTTATATTGAAATTTTTGCGATTTCTTTGAGGTTTTAAAAATCAATTCCGATAAGTTATTTTCTTAGTCTATCATTCGGGACCCGCCAACTATCTCTAAGGTTGCCGTATATCCCATGACATCACATATACAGCTAAATTATGCGTATTCAATAACCGAGTCGGTGTAAGTGCTTTACAGCCGAGCCTGTCGCGACTGGTCTAGTAGGGACTCAAAGTGTTTTGCAATAAGACCAAAGCTTTAAAACACTTAATTCATAAACCTGTACTCGTCTAATTGATTAGTTCGGCCATAAAGCAATTAACAACGAGCCAGCCAACAGCCAATAAGAGAACAACCAATAAGTTTACTTATTTTAAACGAAAGACACTCAACGATTAAACCCAAGCGTTGATGGTATTGACGGTGGGGAGTAAAATTACGTGGATACGTTGAAAAACTGTTCATATAAATACTGTTTAATACACGTACCAGAAGGGATGACTATTTTGACTCTGTCTCCGACATTCTTCTGAGGTTGACATTGGTGGATGACTCGGAGGTATATGTGGGTGAATATAGCAACTTGGCCCATAATCCGCACCCAATTGGTCGAGTTGGCAGAGGTCAGGTTGAATTCATCAGCTGCGAAAATAGATGATGGGATCAAGTCAACGCCCCTTTCGAGTGGTAGGGTTAGGGGTGTTAACTAGGTTATAAGTCGGAACTTTACTCCATGAAACCAGACTGGGATATTTGACACACAACACTACAGTTTAAATTCGAATTAAACAGAGGGATGGCAGGAAAATAGGCTTTTAAATTTAAATAGGCGCAGAGGCGGATCTAAGATTTTCTCGAGGGTGACGGGCCGGTTTGATTGGACGGAGACTTTCTGCAATTTGAACCTTCTGCCATGAGAAAGACTAACTCAGCGTTTTGTCTGCGAAGAGATCCAGATACACCAAATCCAGGTCATCGCACGATCCCTGCACTTGGAAGCAGTGCACATTATCATCCGGACACGTGGTCATCTGCAGTCTCTGGAAAGGAGTGATCTGGGATCCAGAAGGGAAGCCCACAAACACGTTCACAAATGGCAGACCTAAAACGGCGACGCAACATTACGTATACATTTCATAATGTATTGGACAATTAAAAGTGATGCATTCCGTGCCTACTAGAGTTAGTTTTGGCACTTGCATCTTGGTGGTAGTATCCGAGCCATGTTTAAAAGCACGGACCAATTCCAGGCCTAGTTCAATTTTTTCGGCTATCGGAGTATTCTGCTATATACGTGGCCACCGTCTGCATCACTTTCTCGGTCTTTAAAGTTGTTCACCTTTTAGGGCCTCAATCGCAGCACTTCCTGTATCGCCAGTGGTGCAAATCAGAACATTGCTCTTCTTTTGTTTAACATCTTTTTCCCAATGATATTTTTTCTTCGTGCAATAGTTCATATACTGACCGACTATCTGCATACTATCCGACGTCAAATTCAAACTGGTTTCTGCTGTATGATATTAACACTTTCCTTTTTCATTTCGACATTCATCAGAGCGTAAGAAGTTTCAGAAAATATCATCTCAATTTTAGAAAAACTGAACTGAAAACACCTGATATATTCGCTTTTCAATCACTAATGATGCTGAAATTTACGCAGCAACACATTACCTTGTAAAAAGTGTTAAAAAAACGTATGTATCCTACTTGCAGATTGAATTTGCGCCTGTAGTCTTTGAAGACCAAAGATGGTGAATGATACGCTTCTGCTCGGAACAATCGACACTTCTTTTCACCAGACTCCATGTCTAGTTCTACTCCCATGTCGACCACTGGAATGTAATCTGGATGGAACTTCTCTGGCTTCAGACCTTCTTCCACTAAGTACTTCAGATCCGAGGCAGGAACTTCATCTGTGGATATGAATTGAGATGCAATGTATTCGGCTATCGTCACAAATGAAGCATCCTATAAAAACCAACGTCACAACATAGTTTTTATCGGAACATAGAATCCAAATCTATGAAAAAAGCAATACGCTCAGAGTATTGATGACATTTGAAACAATTAACTCATAGAAATATGATAATATTTATCATTTCAAACAAGCATCGTGGACCAATAAACTGTTCAATATTTTCAATCAAAAAAAAATATATATCACCACTGTTCTATCATTTTACCGTTTTCATTTTTCGTTAGAATCAATTCTTTGAAAAAATTAGTTATGAAAACTCGACAAGTAAACCTCAAGTTCCATTAATCGATCGTTGTTCAAGGCCTCGACTGGAACAGTTTGGGGAACGAACACACCCCCAGCAGAAGTGTATCCACCTTGGAGGAGGGCAGTCTCAAAAGACACATCTGACACAGTGCCACAGGTGCTTTTGTATCTCATATTCAAAATATGACAGACTTGGACTTTTCTCTAATTCAATTGATATTCATCTTGATTATTCTTTCATTGACGATTTCATTAAGTCTGGAGAAATGAGGAGCGTTTTTAATTTGGTTGCTATGCTGACCACATTCAAAAAGCTGCTAAAAGCTTCTCAAATTAATGTCGTTTTTTTGTTCGTGGTGTGATGAAAACACTAAATCAAAGGGTAGAACGTTAGTTAGTTAGACATTATAGACATCTGTTTTCGAGAATGATCAAAAATAAAAAGAAGAAAAATTTTAAAATACTTCTAATTTTCTTGAAGAAAAATATTCTATTGCCACAGTAGCTATAAATGAAGTGTCCAAAAACATATTTTTTTTCGCAATAAAACAGTTTTTCCCTACTTAAAAAAAATTTATGTTGTAAGACCTACTCTTTAGTTTTCAAACCGTTTATTTTCGATGATAGGAAAACTTTATAATGTCGTTCGAATCACGACTGAAATATCTTTCATATATGATATATCACGATCCAGTCCGATGATTATTAGTGGTACCTGATTTTGCAAGGGGAAACAAAAACTAAAACACAATCGAAGACTGAGCTCTTCTCCATTTTCAACGTTCGGAACAAAAATTTATACAATCACCGGAAATCAGAAATACCAAACCATGACAATTTCAAAAACGTAAAATCACTACGTAAAATCCATTTCAGCTGAAAAAAAAAGAAAGTAAATCTTCTAAAAATGTTAGGAACTGTATTAAGTAAGAGTTATATGTCAATTCGAAGGATCGGCAGTACATTCTGCTCCACCAAAAAACTTGCTTTTAATTTCCGGAAAACGACTTTCGTAGAGAATGTGAAATTGCGAAAGCTACAGAAATAAAAATTGCATACAAAGGTTGAAAACTAAAATACTAGCCAAAAACAAAATGTCAAAATAGTTTGAGAAAACTGGATCAATAAGTAATTTTCAAGATCCACTGGGTTACACAGAGGCGAAGCTGAGCTTTGCACCACATGCGATACAACATTTATAAGATGAGCGCACTATAACGCAAAAGAATTAGCAAACAGAACTTCGAACTAAGTTAGAATTGGAGGAAGTGGAAAACGAAAATAATAAACAAAAAATGTTTTTTTTTCGTGTTTGAATTTATTTAAGTTTTTCAAAAAGGTCCTAGTGGGGTTGAATTTGCGAATTCAAAAAAATTGGTGCCAGAATCTTATTGATCTCAAAGTACTACGGGACATTTTAACAAAAGAAATCGGTAAATAAGCCGACAGAATTGAAGCCGACAGCCAATAAGCTGAAACACAGAAACACGCCTGCATAGAATCCCCAATAGCTATCTAAATAGCGTATGCAAAGTAGGAAACTTGGAAACTAAACAGACAAAGCTTAAAACGACAACCATGAAGCCGAAAACCATCAGTAGACAATTGATATCAAATCTCTATAATTATACATACAGCCCTTTGAGTTCTAGATATGACATCAGTAGTAATTAGTAGCCAATAGTTAAGTTTGAAATTTCACAAAATTAAGCATGCCAACAGCATCATAAGTGATTCAACGAAATTTGTAGAACTGTTTGTTAACCCGAAAAAAGTTTAAATTCCGATTTGATAATGCTTGTTATTCGCAAGCGTAATTAATTAAAAGATATAAAAACTCTCGAGACAAAATCAATCACGTTTATTGGAGCGATATCTATTTCGCAACTTAAGAGGGTAATTTGACCTCCATCAACCAAATTATTCTTAATTGAACTTAGAACCCAAAGTCAGACAGCAAAAAAATGAAGTTTTCACTTTCGTTTTTAACCATCACAAGTCCCTTTTAAATCACAACCACACAAATCTAGTAACCAAGTTCCTCGCAGAAAACCCTCCCTCTAAAGTAATTTGTATACAGCCCCCTGAGATCGACCCCACAGAAAAAACTCTCCCCAGAACTTCCCGCTGTAAACTCTGCCAACTCCAGTCTGGTTACAGCCGGTTTTTAAAAACATACCTCTCCCGACTAGACAACCAAGTTTGCCCAGTATGCCCATACTGTCACCTAGCACCCCACACTAGTTGCCACATTTTCAACTGCCCCAAGAATCCCTCCCCACTCACTCACGCAGACCTGCGGCTTAGGCCGTTGGAAGTTCCTTAGCCTGGAGACGAACGAGTCCAACCCGACCATTGTGGGGCTAACGAAAGAAAGACAGCAAAAAAAATCAAATTGGAACCAACTTTTCATACAATATCCTTAAGAAAGTTTCACTTCGGTAGTGAGAGTTTCACTCTGACCACATTCGTTGAAAAAATCCAAAAAATCTTTAATTTAGTGTCGTTTCTTGTGCATGGTGTGATGATAAAACTAAGCAAACGCGTGATAAGCTTGTGAATTAGGCATAATCGACTAGTTGTCTTCAAATATTAATATAAAAGTTTCTTAGTTTATTGCACTAAAAATTTTTAATTTCTGGAAAACTTTTTATTGCCAAGAAAGCGCTAAATTAAGCTTCCAAATTCAGTTTTCCTCTTAGTAAAATCAACTTTTTTTTGCAGCCTGAATAGCATATTTTCACAGACACGAATGTTATTCAATTGCTTTACTCGCTCGAAATTAGACTTAACTTTCAAACCGGTTTATTCGAGACAGGGAGGACTTTTTGACATTTTCTATTGTCGTTCGAATCATGTCTGTAAGGGCTTTAGAATTTTATTTCACTCGACCTATTCCGAAGATTATTTGTGATAACTAATTTTGCGAGGAAAACAAAACATAGCCAACGAAAAATTGGAAAAGAGTAATGAACGCACGGAAACTGACTTGTGAACGCACGGAAACTAATGAACGCACGAAAACTGGAAAAAACCGACTTGTTTTTTCAAAAACCTTCAACTTCTGAATTTCGAAAAAAATAGATGGCCTTAACGCTCTTTGAAATTGTAGAACATTTTATCATGGACACTTCAATGTTAAAATTAACCCAAATTGAGAAAACTGGATCAATAGTTTCAACTTTTATTTCGCTGAGAAATCTAATATATAATTTCCATTTCCGAAATTACAAGTCGACCACGTTTTCCGTGACCTTTAAAATTTTGCTGTTCAATAGTGGAGTGTGCCTACCATTTAAGAATAAAATGCACTGGTCTTAAAAAAATCACAGGACAAACCGCGAAATCAAAATTGAGCGTGAACAAATTTTAAGACTTTTTCCTGAAAAAGAAACATCAAAAGGTCAGCAAGATCTATTTAAGAGTACTCACTACGTTCATTACTCTTAATCAAAAATACTAAAAAAAACATATGAATACAAAGTTACTACCAATTTTCAATGAGGGGAACAAGCACTTAAAAACAATTGAAGAGTCTAGCTAGGAAAATATGAGGGCCAATTAGCTTTCCACAGTTCAATTTGGAATAATTAGTTGAGCTTTGAAATCTTTAATTAGTCGCCGCGCTCAAATAAATCGCATAAAAACTGTGCTGCTTTGGTTAGAAAAACGTGTCCTGAGCGGATAACACTAATCTTACAAGCACGCCTGTGTAATTAAATCTCTTGTAAATAAATTCTTCTTCTTCTTTCAGTCGTAATTCTTACGCATATTTCAAAAAATTATTGCTCCCTCGAGAAAAACAGGTCCGAATTTTTTGCGTTTTCTATACTAATTAACCACTAGATTGGATGAGAACAGTTGTACCCACACTACTTTCAAAGCCCTCTTAACCGAGAGTTTATTTCTGGAGCAATCTTTCTGCGCAGAAAAATAAGTAAATGGGTTAGTGAAACAATTTTTTTTCACGCATTCGATGATGTGGTCAGAACACTCTGTGCTACTTGTCGTAAAACCGTGAAATTATTTGATTAGTACGAGTCAATTTCACTGAAGATCTAGAAGGAAAAAACAGTCAATTTCAGATTTCAATAATATTCATGGTAAAATTAAAGTCACCGTCAATATATAAGGCGGTGAACGAATAATAAACTTATATATACAATTTAGCCACAAATATTGACTCAAAATCATAATATATTTAATAACTTAAGGATAACATTCGAAATACATAAAATATTGAAATGATTCGTATATGTTTAGCGATGATTAGCACACTTGGTTCTGTAATATCTGAAAGCCGTTTATATTCTTGACCACAAAGCAATCAAATCAAAACGGACATATTTTCTTTGAGTCGACTGAAGCAATTATTAGCTAGGTGCATGGACGGGGGTGGTTTATAATTCTTCTTTACTGGACCCAGCTCTCGTGTAGTCTAGCAGTTCAACTTCGAATACTAAGGCGGAGTCGGCAGGTATCTTGGGAGGGGACCCTCTAGCCCCGTAGCCAAGGTCAGAGGGAATCACTAGGCGTCTCTTCTCTCCCTTACACATACCCACTAGACCTCGATCCCAACCCTTGATCACCTGAAACAAATCCAAAAAATAACAATTCAACTCCTGGTGTAAATAGTAACTGGTTCAATCGTTGGACATTTCCCTTGTAGCTTATGGTCTCATTTACCTGAACAAAGCACTGACGAGGAATCAATTTTAGCCAACAAAGACCAATATTCACCGACTATTCGAATTTCAGCAATATTCACCGACTATTCGAACTTTCCGAGGGTTTTGAAAATTCGCATTAGAATAAGGCCCCAACTGTATTTCGCCAAGCTGAAAGATTTTTGTCTTTAAAACATTATAATAATCAGAAACGGATTGGAGGAGGAGGGGGAATTCTTGACGTGAAGACAAAGTGAAATCGACACGCTGTCTACCCAAAGGGCCCTCCTCTTCCTACTACTACACACCAACTCTTAGTTTTCTTTAGGCGCCAATTAATTTGATTTAAAAAAATGAACATTTTTTTGAAAAACTCTATATCCGCCCTAAAAGGCTTTTCAATTATCTTATAAAACAGAATATGTTACACCAAAAATTACTTCATTAACAAATATTGAACTATTGATAACTTACCATGATCTTAAGTTTTCTTAAATCCATAACATGGAATTGAGCAAGTATACACTCGAGCCATAGATAAGACTTTTTTAGGTTTTTGAAATTGAGTTTCAGTTCTCTGCTGTTGACCTTCTTGAACCTTCACCTTTTTGTTGAGCCGACAAAAACCACGACAAAAAAAACGAATCCGAAAAAAATCATGAACTTTAATTAGTACCGAATAGGGGCTCGTTAGTTATATTTGAATTCCCAAGAAATGGATCATGACAGCACGTAAAAATAACTGCACGTATTTCGTAACTTTTTAAACTTTCGAAACAAAGTCCAATTCCTGGTCACAAGCCGCATGCTCTCGCAAGTGTAAAGAAATTTCCTCAAAAAAACAAATCATCACGACCTATTTAAAAGCCTGAACTTTCTCTTTCGACTCTTTTTGGCTCTTTTCCAGTCCCCACTTGATTTTTTTTGAAAGTCACTATAAAAAACTCAATTTAAAATGACTTATCAGGATAAAAACGGCATCAAAACATGTCAGCGTGAACAGGTGAACAATTTTTTACAACATTTCTCACACGCAAAATGTCGTGTGAATACTTTTAATTTGTAATTTTTCGAGGGGGGTGGGAAACTGGAAAAGAGCCCTCTTTTTTGTTTTCCCCACCTCAAACAAGCATCAATTTTCGGGCGTAGCGACTGGGTTTACATATGCAGACCAAATATGTTTGTCATGGTATATTCAGTTTGCATGCCAAATTTTACACAGCGGGGGACCTTTGCTTCGCAAACAATAGCGAAAACACGACAAAAAAGCAGCTCTATAAAGTGCAATAAGAAAAAGTAGAAATAAGCCTCAAAATAACAAAAAACAACTCGGTTACGTCTGAGATTCGAACCTGTGACCTAGAGATTAAGAGTCTCACAGCCTAACCACTCAGCCACGGAAGCTGAATTGGTATTAGCCAAACACTAGTCACAAATAAAGAAGTGAACAAATGCTATTCAATTGCCAATTCTACAGTGAAATTTCCAACTAAATGAACACCTTTAATGAACACTTGTATTTGCGAGTTAGCTTAGAAAAACAAAAGGTTCGTAACAAAACTCTAAGCTGACTTTAGTGTTATAACAATTAGACCATGCGAACAAAAAATCACAAGTAAAAATCGTAGTTAAAATCGTAGTTGAGGGGAAAGGAAAAGAGCCCGTTCAACGACTCTTAATAAACTGAGCAAAATGTGGCCTGGTAATATAGTTACAAGCAAATAAGCAAATCTATAGTACAATGTTGGAAAAATTAAAAAATCGAGAGATTTTTGACATTCGTTTAGCTATTATTTATTATTTTTGCTACATCTATTGCGTATGAGAAAGGTTGGTATTTTTAACCTCCTCTCCCTCCCCCCCCCCCCCCCCCTCCCTACACTGAGTGGGTCTGGGGCAAATAAAAAAGTGGTACCTGTCCAGTGCCGAGAGTGAATTGGAATGGGGTGCCTCTGTCGAGACTGCTGTCGAACTTCTCTCCCGTGGAGTGGAGTGTGCCGGTGTAGTGCATGGACAACTTGTCCCCCTTCCTCGTCTTCTCCCCCTCCTCACACTTCACTCTGTGCTTCACACCCACACGCAACTCCTTCACTATAGAACAACAAACACACTCCTCTTTTCCCTTTTGCCAACTCACATCAAATAAGCATCCATTTTATGGTGTTACGAAGGGTTTTTCAAGGAAGTATGAAGAACAAATAAGTTTTTCATTGCCTAATTAGTTCGCATTCCATCTTTGTCAATCGGACATTGTGAACATAAAATGCTCGTAGAAATTCATAGTTTTGTGTTGGGGGGGGGGGGAGAGACAAAATTACATTCAATTTAACAAGGAGAGCAATAGAGAGGTATATGCTCTGCTCCATTGGCTTTTTTACAGTTTTCCACCTTGATTTTTTCTGAAATTCATTTAATTGAAATCTATGTTAAATGACTTTTCATGTTATAAACTGCAATAAGTGTCAGCGTGAACAAATTTGTACAATTCCTACATGCAAAATGCCATGAGAACAATTTTTGATGTTTCATTTTGTAGATTTACGAGGTGGTGGTAAACTGGAAAAGAGCCCGAATATCTATCTGACTCCCAGTTGTAATGTCGGCGGTTCGTGGTCCTTTTCGAAAAAAAATAATGTGGTTATAATGCAATAGAGTTAGATTATTGTCAAGGTCAAAGTATGTTTCCAACCTGCAGGTTTTTCTTTTGGCGTCTCGGTCGAAGTCTTTTCTGGTTCGGCAGCCTCCACTGGGGGTTGTTTATCCTCTGTCTTCTTTTCTTCTTCTGCAGCCGCGACAGGTACTATCACACCAACCGACAGCACCAACACCAAAACACACACAAACCACAATCTTCTGTTCAACAAATCCATTTTCTCAACTGAAATTTATTCACACTATTCGCACTTGGCTCAATTCAGAAACTGAACATATGCTAAAGGAGATCAATTTAGATATTCAATATTAGTTGAAATTTATAGATAAATTATTTCTAAAGGCTGTAAAAATAACAACTTCAAGTCACAAAATGCCACGTCAGCTTCGCATAAAGAATGAATTTGTCACGAAGTTACTCAATGGTAAAATGAAAATGAGGGAAAATGATGCCATTTGGCGCAAATTTATGAATTCAATTGTTTATGTCTCTATTGATAATGATGATTCCTTATTTCTTCAAATTTCTAAAGAAGACATTGAACTTCAAAAAAACAAGGGATCTACTTTACAATTAACCCCTCCATCAAGAAAGGGGGGAATTGATAAGCTGATTAAGTTAGTCGCATTTTCGCCCAATCATAATGCAGCAAAATTCGAACTATAAATAAAACGCTCTAGCGCTAATTTACTGCTTTGATTTATAGGGGTAGAAATTTTTTAATAGATACCATAAGGGGGGACGATTGTTAAGTAGATCCAAAAAAATCAATTCTTTATGAATAGTTTAGCCGATTTGAAGCCAAGGTCGTCAAGTAAAAGCAACGAATAGCGCCGACATACTATGAAAACAATCCTGTTACATACAGCAGGAAATCAATAAACAATAACGCTTTTTTTTCATTGTACAGCTCTTTGGGCAAACAAGTGGCTGCAAGTTTTTTCCTATTTTCTAAAATATCAACTTGCAAATCTTCCCCCAACGAGATATTTCCCGATATTCATCTGATAATATCGCTTTCACGCTTAACATTTAAGGTGAGATGCATTAAGTTGTGTAAATGAAAACAATTACACAACTTGCAAGCAAATCTAGACTTCTTCCAGCTGTTAAATCCATTATTGAACAGGCGAAAAAAGTGTTCTGGCAGCAGGAGAGAGGAAACAAAATCCACATATTCGAAGCTAGTCTTCATCCATCGCCTGTTTTTAACTCACTGGTTAAACAGTCATAATTACGTTTCGTGAGAGCAGGAGAGTTAGAGTGAAAACAAAATACGCGAGTGAATATTAAAAAAAACGGGCAAAAGCCATATTCTTAAAACATAGTCAACAGACAGTTAGAAACATGGAAAGAACAAGGAAACCAAAAATAAGTTTAATGAAAATTGTCCACCATTTCTTCAACTTTTGAAGAAAAAATATCACATTCAAGCTATTTGAATTTCAAGCAATGTTGACAATTGTTTTTTTTTACTCGAATTTGTCCCTTTGGAAAACTGGATCAATAGGTAAATTTTTATATTCCTCAGTAAAAATCTGAAATTTAAAAACCATTTTTGAAACTAGACATCATTCAAGTTTTTCGGGAAATCTACACTTTTGCTGCTCGAAGTGGAGCTTGCATTCATTTTATCAAAGTAAAGGAACTAATATTAAAAAACATCCAAGTCAAACCGCGAATACCCAGAATTAGGCTTGAATTTTAGGACTTTAACATCAAAAAATTTAAAGCCAACAGTCAGTTTGAAAAGAGTCAAGGAGTTCAAAGAAACAGAAAAAAAAACTGACTTGTTTGTTGATCAAACTTCAAGTCAACTTACGTATTTCAAACAAAAAACGACCTTAAAGCTTTTTAAACTTCAGTAGCAATTTATAATCGGCATTTTTCTAGATAAAATTAACCCAATTTGTGAGAAATCTATTGCCGTTCGATAACAGAGTTTGCCTTCCTTTTAACCAGAAGAAACGAGAAAATAATCATCAGTAATTACATAAGAGTCTGAACCACTTTTATCGACTCTTAAACAAAGCCAACACAGCTGCAAAAGATTTAAAAAAAACCGCATAGGAATTGAAAAAAATACGGACTTGTTTTTCAAAAAAACTGACCATTCGAAGAACAAAAAATAATTTATGATAGAGAATTTTGCTTATAAATAACTCAATTTGAGAAAAATGGAAAGTTAGGCAAAAGTTTTCATTACGCTAGAAATCGATAAATTAAATTAAATAAATCGAAAAAATAAATAAATCGCTCACGCTTTTTTGAGCAATTTCCTCTTTCCTAATTGCAGAGCAAATTTTGTCTGCCTTTTGGAAAATAAACATGACTTGAACTCGAAAAGTGCTCGTAATCCTATGGGCATTCATAAATACATTGCATGCACTCAGCAGCATTTTCAGTCTTTTCCTGAAAAACGAAACAAATCATCGCGATCTATTTAAAGCGCACACGGAAAAAATATTTAGCTCATCAAAAGACGCAATATCAGGCCAACAAGTCGATATACTATAGGTCAAACCTTACTAAGTCAGATAAAAAACTGTTTAAGAAATCGAAATTTCAAAAAATAACGAAGGCAAATTTCGAGGACTCATATTCCGAATGCTAAAAAGCTCAAAACTTTGCTGTGACATCATTTCTAACAAGAAGACCACAAAATGAGGTTCTTGAACAAAACTATTTACAAAAAATCTTTCAACTGATTCAAAAGAGATGGCAGAAAAAATGAAAATTTATGTTATCAATTCAATAACATAAATCCCAGTATATACGAAAGTTCTACACAAAAATTAAGAAAATTTGTACAACAATATATCTCAACTTTCGATTTGTAACAAAAAATAGATTCCGCTTGAGCTCTTTGAATTTCCAAAACAATTTATGATTGACACATTTTTATTCAATTAACCCAATTTGAGAAAACTGGATCAAAAAGTATATTTTTTATTCCGCTGAGAAATCTGAAAACTAAACTTCACTTTCGAAGCTAGAAGACAATCAATTTCTCTCGTGACTTTTACACTTTTGCTGCTCAATAGAACTTTGAATTAAATCGTAAGTCAAAAATCGAGAAAAATCATCAGCACCTTAACTATGTGTATCGACTTTAAAACAAAGCCAACACAATTGGAAAATAGTCAAAAAACGCATAGCAATTGCAAACAAAACGATATTGTTTTTCGAAAAATCTCACCATGCGAAGAACAATTAATAAATGGTCTTAAGGCTCCTTAATTTTCTAGAACAAATAATGATAGACACTTTTTGGATATAATTAACTCAATTTGAGACAACTGGAAAATAAAGCACAAGTTTTCATTAGGCAAGGAATCGAAAAATTAAATTTCACTTTCGAAACTAGAAATCGATCACGCTTTTTCACGCTATCGATCAGAGCTATTTAAGAGTCTGAGCTGCGTTGATTGAATCTTAAAAAACATAGCCATTTTTTGAAAAACTTTCCAAGAAAAAACATATAGCCTTAAAGCTTTTACAAGATCTAAAAAAAATATTGACACTTTTTTGATGAAATCACCCCAAACTCAAAAAATGGACCAATAGGTAAAATTTTCATTTCGCAAAGAAATCTGATAATTAAATTCTGTTTTTGAAATTAGAACTCGATCACCTTTTTCGTGACCTTTACACTTTTCCTGTTGGATTGTGGAGTTTTTGCCTTCTTTTTAACAAAGGAAATTAACGGATCTTAAATTCAAGGTCAAACTGCAAAAAAAGTAAATTTGAGCCTGGACAAAATCTAAATCTTTCCAGAAAAAAAAAACGGAAAAAAGATCACGAGCTATTTAAGAGTCTGAGCTATGTTAATCGACTCATAAAAAAATAAATTACCTTTTTCCAAAAACTTTTGGATTTTTGTAAAAAATTTTCTACAGAGGCGAAGCTGTGCTTCGCAAACACTAGCGCGAACACGACAAAAACGCAGCTCTATAAAGTGCGATAAGAAAAAGTAGAAATAAGCCTCGAATTAGCAAAAAAATTTGGCTTGGTCTGAGATTCCAAGCTGCGACCTAGAGATTAAGAGTGGGACACACTAACCACTCAGCCACGAAAGCTTAATAGGTAACAGCCAAACACTAGTCACAAATAAAACAGGACAGATGCTATGCAATTGCCAAAGCTACAGCGAAACTTCCAAATAAATTAAAACTTTTATTTGCGAGTTAGGTCAGAAAAGAAGGTTCGTATTAACACACTAAGCTGATGCTAGTGTAAAAACGAGACGCTTAATGAACTAAATAAAAATAAAGCAGATAAAAACAATTTTTACAATTTCAGCACCAGATACACTACCACTGCATAAGGAAACGCATTTAGATCCTAGAAGACTACCGGACTAATTCAAACTGAATAACTTCAGCCATCTTTTGACAAAGTTGTTACGGAAAAAATCTAGTAACTCTAAAAGCAGGGTAATTATTAGTTCCATCGTTGACTTAAACAGTTTACAAACAGTGTAGAATTGTTCAGTTAAATTCGTCCTTCCTTCCAAATTTACTGATGATACTGACGAGCGTCATTAGAGCACACTTTGAAAAACGTATCTGCAAGTCAATCAGCAAAATATTTTTATGGAAGTGAACCACCAGAATGCAATTGAATGATCGTGAACAAAAGTAAGGACTATCCTGAAAAAAAAAACACATGATCTATCGGTAAAATTTCAATTTCCTAAAAAAAATTAGAACTTGTTAAAATTCGATGTCATAGCTTAAGCTCCAGCAAACATTGCAATGAAGCAATTGACGAGTAAAGCTAAAATCTGTCTCATAAAATATCAAAAACTCCTCTAGGTATGACACTTTTTGCATTTAGTTTTGCCATTTCTGATTGTATATTTCAGACTTAACTACAACTTTAGCAAGTCTATTCCTAACTTTTGATTTTAACATGTACTTTTCAGTTAATTTTATTTCGCATTTCCTGTTTTTTGTTTCAACAGCTGCATTTAAATTTCAACATGCTTACAGCTCATTATCAGAAAGTTTGATTTAACCAATGTTACTCGATCGATGTCATCAGTTTGCTAATAATTTTGCAACAACTATACATTAGACTTAAACTAATGGCTGATTAGAGACTGATAGGTCATTTTGAGTCATAAAATATTATTGAAGCAGAAATTTAATTAGTTAAAATTGAAATATTTTGTTGGAATATAATGTTAGGGTTTTGAAATTCAGTCAGGAAAGAAACTTGATGAAATTAAAATTAAGTTTGTTAAAACATGCAATTAAAAATGTTGAAACTAAAAGCAAAAAGGTCAAATAATCTTACTTTGAAAAGATCCGACAGACATTTTTAATTGAAAATCAAAACATTAAGATCGTATGGCGACATACAACAACTAATTAAGCTTCGATTGCTTCTCATTCGTATCATTAAATAATAGCACGCAAACTTTCAGAATGTAACTATTATACCAAATAGTTCAATAGATTCCAATTGCATAATTACGTTTCGTGAGAGCAGGAGAGTTAGAGTGAAAACAAAATACGCGAGTGAATATTAAAAAAAACGGGCAAAAGCCATATTCTTAAAACATAGTCAACAGACAGTTAGAAACATGGAAAGAACAAGGAAACCAAAAATAAGTTTAATGAAAATTGTCCACCATTTCTTCAACTTTTGAAGAAAAAATATCACATTCAAGCTATTTGAATTTCAAGCAATGTTGACAATTGTTTTTTTTTACTCGAATTTGTCCCTTTGGAAAACTGGATCAATAGGTAAATTTTTATATTCCTCAGTAAAAATCTGAAATTTAAAAACCATTTTTGAAACTAGACATCATTCAAGTTTTTCGGGAAATCTACACTTTTGCTGCTCGAAGTGGAGCTTGCATTCATTTTATCAAAGTAAAGGAACTAATATTAAAAAACATCCAAGTCAAACCGCGAATACCCAGAATTAGGCTTGAATTTTAGGACTTTAACATCAAAAAATTTAAAGCCAACAGTCAGTTTGAAAAGAGTCAAGGAGTTCAAAGAAACAGAAAAAAAAACTGACTTGTTTGTTGATCAAACTTCAAGTCAACTTACGTATTTCAAACAAAAAACGACCTTAAAGCTTTTTAAACTTCAGTAGCAATTTATAATCGGCATTTTTCTAGATAAAATTAACCCAATTTGTGAGAAATCTATTGCCGTTCGATAACAGAGTTTGCCTTCCTTTTAACCAGAAGAAACGAGAAAATAATCATCAGTAATTACATAAGAGTCTGAACCACTTTTATCGACTCTTAAACAAAGCCAACACAGCTGCAAAAGAGTAAAAAAAAACCGCATAGGAATTGAAAAAAATACGGACTTGTTTTTCAAAAAAACTGACCATTCGAAGAACAAAAAATAATTTATGATAGAGAATTTTGCTTATAAATAACTCAATTTGAGAAAAATGGAAAGTTAGGTAAAAGTTTTCATTACGCTAGAAATCGATAAATTAAATTAAATAAATCGAAAAAATAAATAAATCGCTCACGCTTTTTTGAGCAATTTCCTCTTTCCTAATTGCAGAGCAATTTTGTCTGCCTTTTGGAAAATAAACATGACTTGAACTCGAAAAGTGCTCGTAATCCTATGGGCATTCATAAATACATTGCATGCACTCAGCAGCATTTTCAGTCTTTTCCTGAAAAACGAAACAAATCATCGCGATCTATTTAAAGCGCACACGGAAAAAATATTTAGCTCATCAAAAGACGCAATATCAGGCCAACAAGTCGATATACTATAGGTCAAACCTTACTAAGTCAGATAAAAAACTGTTTAAGAAATCGAAATTTCAAAAAATAACGAAGGCAAATTTCGAGGACTCATATTCCGAATGCTAAAAAGCTCAAAACTTTGCTGTGACATCATTTCTAACAAGAAGACCACAAAATGAGGTTCTTGAACAAAACTATTTACAAAAAATCTTTCAACTGATTCAAAAGAGATGGCAGAAAAAATGAAAATTTATGTTATCAATTCAATAACATAAATCCCAGTATATACGAAAGTTCTACACAAAAATTAAGAAAATTTGTACAACAATATATCTCAACTTTCGATTTGTAACAAAAAATAGATTCCGCTTGAGCTCTTTGAATTTCCAAAACAATTTATGATTGACACATTTTTATTCAATTAACCCAATTTGAGAAAACTGGATCAAAAAGTATATTTTTTATTCCGCTGAGAAATCTGAAAACTAAACTTCACTTTCGAAGCTAGAAGACAATCAATTTCTCTCGTGACTTTTACACTTTTGCTGCTCAATAGAACTTTGAATTAAATCGTAAGTCAAAAATCGAGAAAAATCATCAGCACCTTAACTATGTGTATCGACTTTAAAACAAAGCCAACACAATTGGAAAATAGTCAAAAAACGCATAGCAATTGCAAACAAAACGATATTGTTTTTCGAAAAATCTCACCATGCGAAGAACAATTAATAAATGGTCTTAAGGCTCCTTAATTTTCTAGAACAAATAATGATAGACACTTTTTGGATATAATTAACTCAATTTGAGACAACTGGAAAATAAAGCACAAGTTTTCATTAGGCAAGGAATCGAAAAATTAAATTTCACTTTCGAAACTAGAAATCGATCACGCTTTTTCACGCTATCGATCAGAGCTATTTAAGAGTCTGAGCTGCGTTGATTGAATCTTAAAAAACATAGCCATTTTTTGAAAAACTTTCCAAGAAAAAACATATAGCCTTAAAGCTTTTACAAGATCTAAAAAAAATATTGACACTTTTTTGATGAAATCACCCTAAACTCAAAAAATGGACCAATAGGTAAAATTTTCATTTCGCAAAGAAATCTGATAATTAAATTCTGTTTTTGAAATTAGAACTCGATCACCTTTTTCGTGACCTTTACACTTTTCCTGTTGGATTGTGGAGTTTTTGCCTTCTTTTTAACAAAGGAAATTAACGGATCTTAAATTCAAGGTCAAACTGCAAAAAAAGTAAATTTGAGCCTGGACAAAATCTAAATCTTTCCAGAAAAAAAACGGAAAAAAGATCACGAGCTATTTAAGAGTCTGAGCTATGTTAATCGACTCATAAAAAAATAAATTACCTTTTTCCAAAAACTTTTGGATTTTTGTAAAAAATTTTCTACAGAGGCGAAGCTGTGCTTCGCAAACACTAGCGCGAACACGACAAAAACGCAGCTCTATAAAGTGCGATAAGAAAAAGTAGAAATAAGCCTCGAATCAGCAAAAAAATTTGGCTTGGTCTGAGATTCCAAGCTGCGACCTAGAGATTAAGAGTGGGACACACTAACCACTCAGCCACGAAAGCTTAATAAGTAACAGCCAAACACTAGTCACAAATAAAACAGGACAGATGCTATGCAATTGCCAAAGCTACAGCGAAACTTCCAAATAAATTAAAACTTTTATTTGCGAGTTAGGTCAGAAAAGAAGGTTCGTATTAACACACTAAGCTGACGCTAGTGTAAAAAGGAGACGAGACGCTTACTGAAATAAAAAATAAATAAAGCAGATGAAAATTAGGAATAAAGCCAAACGTCCGACAAAACTACCACTGCATAAGGAAACGCATTTAGATCCTAGAAGACTACCGGACTAATTCAAACTGACTAACTTCAGCCATCTTTTGACAAAGTTGTTACGGAAAAAAATCTAGTAACGCTAAAAGCAGGGTAATTATTAGTTCCATCGTTGACTTTAACAGTTTACAAACAGTGTAGAATTGTTCAGTTAAATTCGTCCTTCCTTCCAAATTTACTGATGATACTGACGCGCGTCATTAGAGCACACTTTGAAAAACGTATCTGCAAGTCAAAAACACATGATAAAAAGAAATATTAGAACTTGTTAAAATTCGATGTCATAGCTTAAGCTCCAGCAAATTGTGCAATGAAGCAATTGACGAGTAAAGCAAAAATCTGTCTCATAAAATATCAAAAGCTCCTCTAGTTATGACACTTTTTGCATTTAATTTCGCCATTTCTGATTGTATATTTCAGACTTAACTACAACTTTAGCAAGTCTATTCCTAACTTTTGATTTTAACATGTACTTTTCAGTTAATTTTATTTCGCATTTCCTGTTTTTTGTTTCAACAGCTGCATTTAAATTTCAACATGCTTACAACTCATTATCAGAAAGTTTGATTTAACCAATATTACTCGATCGATGTCATCAGTATTGCTAATAATTTTGCAACAACTATACATTAGACTTAAACTAATGGCTGATTAGAGACTGATAGGTCATTTTGAGTCATCAAATATTATTGAAGCAGAAATTTAATTAGTTAAAATTGAAATATTTTGTTGAAATATAATGTTAGGGTTTTGAAATTCAGTCAGGAAAGAAACTTAATGAAATTAAAATTAAGTTTGTTAAAACGTGCAATTAAAAATGTTGAAACTAAAAGCAAAAAGGTCAAATAATCTTACTTTGAAAAGATCCGACAGACATTTTTAATTGAAAATCAAAACATTAAGATCGTATGGCGACATACAACAACTAATTAAGCTTCGATTGCTTCTCATTCGTATCATTAAATAATAGCACGCAAACTTTCAGAATGTAACTATTATACCAAATAGTTCAATAGATTCCAATTGCAGCTGAGTAAAAAGATCCCTGTAAAAAACGATCACATCAAATCTCCATGCTACAGGATCCAGTACTGTCTACAAGAAGATTTGAAATACTGGCTACACTTTATATTAAATAGTTTTATATACTATCAACTAACTGTAGCCATGACTAAACTGCAATTTAACAAGGAATTTTACTCTCATACAAATCCAAGAAAAAAATTCATCATAATTAGAAAAATAACAATTCAGATTTTGAAAAAAAAAACAATCTTTTGGCAAAATGAAACAACGAACGTAATTATAGTCTCATGTCTTCTTTTTGCCTCTAGCGTCTTTATGATTTTTATTCGGATTATAACAGGCTACAAATTTAACATCAATCCTGATTTTAACTAAAAAATAGGAGGAACATTGACAATCGAGTCTTTTAAATTCACGGACCCCTTAAAATACTTTTATCAATCACGTTTCTTGGCGTTGGCATCGTTGTTCAATCTGGACGTCTACTGGTGTTCTATTTGTAGTGTTGCTTTGAGCTTCGGCTGCGATTGGTGGATGATCGGGTCCTGTTGGACGATGCCTGCTCTTGCAGCTGGTAAGCCAGAGGGTGGATTTTGAACCCAAATAACCTAAAACAACCTCGCAATCAAATCGATTTATAGACGTGACGTTGCACTTCGCATACACAAGCAAAAACAGAAAAGGAAAATTACAATAACATAATAAAAATGCCTTGAAAATCACTGAAAAACGTCGTATCCGAATACAGGGTTCTAAATCAAAGCATAGCCAACTGACAGTTGAAAAAGAAAAATAATGATAGCAAGGAACAAGGAAACAAAAAAAAACTTTTTTTTTTCAAAAACCTTCAACTTTTGAATTTCGAAGAAAAAATAGATGTCCTTAAAGCTCTTTGAATTTGTAAAGCAATTGATGATGGATACTTTTTGTTAAAATTAACCGCATTTGAGAAAACTGGATCAATAGGCAAAACTTTCATTTCAATGAGATATTTGATAATTAATTTCCATTTTCGAAAATAAAAGTCGATCACGTTTTTTGTGAGCTTTAAACTTATACAGTTTGCCTTCCTTTAATAAAATGCACTGGTCTTAAAAAGAAATCACAAGTCAAACCGCGAAAAAAACTGAGCGTGAACAAATTTTAAGACTTTTTCATGAAAAAAAAACAAACAAAATCACCAAGACCTATATAAGAGTACTCACTACGTTCATTACTCTTAAACGGACCAAGAGTCATTTTCCTTAGCCAATTAGCGACGGCAAATTGCAGTATACAGCTTTTAACAGTGATGACCAATTTAGCCGTTTTTACAGAGAGACAATGCAGCACGGGAATCAGCTCCAAGGAGGCAAAAAAATACCAGGAAAGATAAGCCAAAAAAAAACGCCTGAATCAACCACTAGCTTGTTTGTGTCAACAATTGGTTAAAAAAAGGTTTGTTAACCTAACTTAACCAATAGACAAGGAGAGCTGGCTACGATGCACGTAGCACAAAGATTCGACTGCATTAATTTTACGAACATAGTCAACAGACAGTTGGAAACGAGTCATGAATGCCTTGTGATGTATCGGACTGGCACTTGAAGACGGAGTCATGAATGCTTCAACTTTCGAATTTATCTTTTAATGAATGTACTCAGTCTCAGTAAGGCCGATAACCATAGCTCATATTCTACTTCCACTACAATCATCTAAAATCGTTAGTCTTTTCACTAGTTTTTACTTAAATAAAACATCTAAAAGATACATAAATTAAACAAAGTATATAAAAACTATATATATTCCATACCCCGAGAAAAGATCAACAGAGCTGGAAAGTTAACAATGATACGGAAGTTCAAGAAAAACTATCCATCAAAAGTCTATCGGAAAAAATTACAGACAACAAGAAAAGGTGAAACTGTTAAACTAAACTTTCAAAATCAGGACGTTAAATCAATAATGAATAACTGAGAAACCTTTATCATAGAAAACCACCAGATCCTTGTGATGTATCGAACTGGCACTTGAAGACGGAGCAAATAGCATATATAAAACCTTAAAATTCTCTTCGACGAGTATTTTAAGCTTAGGAACTTTCCGCTTAATGTTTAAAAAACTCTTCTTACCATTGTATGCAAAAAAACGACCATGAAGAACCAGAAATTTATATATCTATATCAATCACGGAGGCAATGTCAAAAAGTTTTTTAAAAGGTCTATATAAGCAAATGAACTGTCAGCTCCTGGAAGATAATTGCATAAGTAAATCATAATTTGGACTCCGAGCATCAAATTCAACTATAGGTGCACTATCATACAAAACTGAATCTCACTACTCCTTTTAAAATTTTACAAACGATCTGAACTACCAATTACCATACTAATGCAAATTCGTTGAAAACGCTAATGATACGAAAATCCAAAAAGAGCTATCAACAAACTTAAACATGTTAGAGAAATTCTGTAAACATACTTCAATACATTCAAAACAAAACTTCTGTTTAAAAAAGGAAATCAGTACAATCAGTGAAGCAAGTAAAGTTAAAAAAATTTAGACATTTCTTTTGCCACCGAAAATTGAAATTTCTCGAAACCACCATGCTGGGCTGTAAAAACATGCTGTCACTCACTGCCTAAGCTACGACTAGCGTGTAGCGCACTTCAGATGCTTCAAACAGATTAAAAAAATTAACTCTGCTTATACAAAAAATATGAAAAAACAACGAAAGGAATGCAACCGTTACTATAGACGGGGCATCCAACAACACATTTGATTTCAAAAACTGTACGATAAAAAATTCAACTAAAATGGTAAAATCTTCAAAACTACTGAACTTTTCATACTTGACGATTTCGTTGGCAATACCACTGAATTCATGAATGAGTCTCCGGTTTAACTTGATTCTCTCCTCATTAGCCCGACTTTTTTTTAGTTTAGCAAAAATTTATTCGTGTTTAATTCAAAATTTCAGGAAAACTCTGAATAACAAACCTCACTTTTGGAAAACGTCAGATAATTTTGAAGTCAAGATAAAAACTTCCTGAGAGTACCTTGACTTTAAGGATGTTTTAGATAAAGTATATTGAAAAATCATTAAAACAAAAAATCTCGAAAAGTAAAATGATTCGAGCAATAAAATTTGGAGAAAAAATTGCAACTTCTGAGTATACCGTGATTATGACCCCATTTTAGGCTTGGGAATTAAAAATTCGTAAACTTTTTTTCAAAGCAAACTTTTAAAAACTTTTTCAAGTATGGAAAAAAGTCATGTCAGGGCAATCAAAAAAATTTTTAAAGTCACATTGGGAGAGAAGAATTGCAACCCTTGAGATTACCCTGGCAGCACACAGCCATAGTTACGTGAAATTCAATTTTCCTAAAAATTTTATGTCTCAGTTTTGATAAATTTTGAATAAAAGATAACACGTCATATCTCGGAAACTTAAAGCATTTGAGCAGTCACATTTGGAGACAAGAACTGCTATCCCTGAGAACACCTTGACAGCAACAGGGCTAGGAATTCCAAACTTCATGAAATTTTGTAAAACAATCAAAAAACGCCACATCTCGAAAACTAAAGGCATTTGAGCAGTCAAATTTGGACACAAGATTTGCAACCCCTGAGAGTAACCTCAAAGCAACCAATTAAAGGCTTGGGAAGTTATATACGACATAGCTTACACATGAAAAATATCTTTCGTTTCACATGCAAAACCATGTTAAAATATAATACAATTAAAATCAGACTTGAAATGATTTTTTTTCCATATGCTTTACCTTGAAGATAAAACAATGGCAGTCTATGGAAAGATTATCAGAACAAAAATTGAAATAGCGTGTAATGCACTTCCGGTGGTTCAAACAGATTAGTGAACGTTAAAGTTACTGATAAATAAAAGATATAAAAAAAAACAGCAACATGAATGCAACCACAAAAGACGGGGGAATCCAAAATAGCTTTTGATTATAAAATATGAGTGATAAAATTAAACTAAAATAGTCAAATTTCAAAACTACTTGGTTTCACATCTTCGCATTTTTAACTCATAAACCCTGAAATTACCGACAGCATACAGCTGCACATTCGCATACAGCTGCACATTCGCATACAGCTGCACATTCCAAAATTTGAAATAATTTCATTTGCAAAATCATCAAAATTATAAATGGGATTCAAAAACCAGCGCAATTAATTGTAAAAATCAGACTCTTTCGTCTTAATTTAAATGCAAGTCAATGGAAAATTTTTTGAAATATAACAAAAAAAGAACAAATTGAAAAATTAAGAAGAGCAAAAATATTCAGTGGGAGACCATATATGCACCCACTGGTAGTAAGCCGAGATCACCCCACCAAAGGGTCGACAAAATCAAAATTTAACACAGAGGCGAAGTTCCACTTCGCAAATACAAGCAAAAATATGACCGATAACACTACTGGGAAAGACTGAACGAGTAAAACATGTTGTCTACCAAATTTCTTAAGTGACGCACGCCAATTATGCCGCATCAGTAACACCCGTCTATTTGAAAACAATAGACATTTACCAACTAAAAAGCCTCAATTTATAGAGCAGTCTATGGAGCAGTAATAACAAGAAAAAACTACATGTAATAAAAATGATTTTTTTTTAATTTGAGATTTTTTGTGAAAATCATCCCCCTACACAACAAAATCAGTACAAAGTCATAAGCTTCGCTCGTAGTAACAAATCAATTAGAGCAAACAAGCTTCCTTCAACCAATTCGAAACGATTTCTAAGACGGATTAAATCTCCGCTTACGCGTTAATAGCGCGAGTATATCGCGCGTTAATTGTCCCAAATTGGCCGAAAGGACAATCTTTAAACCCACATTACTTTACAAAAAATGATCACAGGTAAAATATCTTTCCAAATTTAAGCTCAGGACAACAATACTTTTTGAGCGATATAAAAAAATCGTGAAAAATGGCTAGTTAAAAAGTCTGGTTAAAAAAATGGCTAGAAAAAAAACCCTCGAAAGTCGGATCAATAATAGTCTGTGTTAAAATCCTTAGGATTTCTTATACTTAATAGCAGGTTTTTTATCAAAATGATGACTTTCAAAATGAACACATTTTGAAGCATTGCTTGGGTAAACACTGAATTTAAACTGAAAAAATAAATTCAACCATTGCAATATACAATTTAGCTTAAACGTGAAAAAATTCTTTCGTTAAATATGCAAACAAAGCGTGTTGAAAAAGCTAAAACAAGACGAAATTTAGAAGCCCGTATTTAGATGTAAAATAGATTATGGATTTATCTGACAAATGACGATGTTTTTTTAACTTCATTTTAATGTTAGCTGAAGTTAGATCATTTCATTTTATGTAAATACAATTCATTTTTAATCTATAATTTTTAATGAACAAAGTGTTTTTTGAATAATTTAAGATAGTTTGCATTATATTTTGAAACCTCCATTTGATCTATGTACATAAAATTGGCAGAACCGAGATACTTAGTCGAATCTTCTTGGTCTCACCTAGCGGAGAATGATGTGGGACTCTTCTTGGGCCTGTACTCTGGGTGCATCATGAACAGCATGTGTGGGAAACTGGTGCCGAAGTAAGCTCCGTCTATATGATGGTGTCTGGTACTCTTCGGAGTGTAGACGTCCTTAACAAACCATTAACACGTCATTTCAAAGCAGTAGTTTAGCTTTACCCTGCCCCCTACAAGTGAAAATTTAATATTCATGTGTCAAGTTGTTCAATTGTATTGCAATATGTTATATGAACCAGTCACATTCTGTATTTGGTTCCAATAGTTTTTGTAGACTTAAGAGCTACTATACCTGGCACTTAGGGCAGTAGAGCTTCACCATGGCTTCTCCCGGGACGTCAGAGAGTCCAATGGGCAGCACCAACTGGTTCTCGCAGTACACCCTCGGACAGTGTCCGAAGTCTCCTTGCTGGTACTTCTCGAGCTGAAACAGAATAATAATTGAGCGCTCATGAAACAAGAGACACACTAAATTATAGCTTAAAAAACATCAAATTCATTGCAACATTTAAAGCGTAACACTCTTTTTCTGTTTATTTTATGGAAATCGTTATTTTTTTTGCTCTAAAAGCCACCAAAACTTGAACACAATAACTAACCATTTGAGAAATTCCTCTATTTGTCAGAATATATCTAGCTTGGATCAATCCATACAGCATTTCGGCAGCTTGCTCAATGAGGTCACCCTGGTTAGGGTTGTCATCTGCCTCATCGTCTGGCTCTAGATCCAAAATCATGTCCAACGCTTGCCGGTAGTGAGGGACCTGCTCACTCAGACCAGTGAGGTTGAACTTATCTTGGATATATTCCTCGTCTACCTAAAGAGCAAAACTCGTCATTAACTACACTAGTGGACAAAATTATCCACTAATTTATGTTTTTATTCTACTTTACCGACAATTTGGGACACTTTCTGTGAATTTTACACCGACTGACAGCAATTGATCTAAACTACCTTCTCTGAAAGTCTCAGTTTTTGATTTGAAGCACCTTACAGTTTTTACGGGTATGAAAATGCCAGTTTTCACCATTTGCATGAAGTTTTTTACAACGGTGTGAAATTATCAGAAACGATTTTTTTTTTAACTTTCAAGGGTAATCAGAAGGTCAAAGATACACTAGTGGTAAAAATTAAGCACAAATTCAGGATTTTACCCTCTTAAATGCATGTTTTCAATGTCCATTTTGGACATCATTTACTTCATTTTTCATTGAAATTTTTACATAGACCAAGAGCATACGATCAGAGCTACCTTCTTTGAAACTATCAAAATTTGGTTTCAATGACTACCCAATGTAATCCGGGTCTGAAAATGCCAGTTTTTCTCATTTGCATGAAGTTTTTTTTTACATCGCGTGAAAAAGTAAGAATCGTCCGAGTTTAGTAAAGTTTTCACACTGATTGTTTCCATTTTCTTGCTGAGAATGTTTAACGTCACATGAACAATTTTATCCAATTAGCTTATTCAAGAAAGAATTCACAAAAATTAGTGCAAAAAAGGAAACTGGCATTTTCAGACACGGATAGCATTGTTAAGTCATTGAAACCAAATTTTGATAGTTTCAAAGAGGGTAGCTCTGATCGTATGCTCTTGGTCTATGTAAAAATTTCAATGGAAATTGAAGTAAAGGTTGTCCAAAATGGACATTGAAGGGAGGCATTTTAGAGAGAAAAATCCTGAACTTGCGCTTAATTTTGTCCACCAGCGTATGATATGATTCATCTCGTGATCAACTTTTTCTACTTCACTAATTCAAAAAAAGATCACTCCCATAGACAACCCTATTACAAATGGTGAAAATGGTTGTTCAGATCATTTAATGTCAATCGATGTAACAATTTAATCAAAATACAAAAAAAATATTAAAAAATGGTCATTGAAATTAAGCATTTCAGAGAGTAAAATCCTGAATTTGCGTTGTCCACTAGGGTAAACATGTATCACGGTTGGTAGATAAGCATTCACATTCATCCTTTGATATATTTACATGTTAGCTCAGTTTACCTCGCAGTAAAACTCGTTTCCTCTTAGGCCGCAGAACCATGAGATCCAGGAAACTTCTTCACTGCTGCTCATTAGGATCTGAAAAATAAATTCTTCACATATCTGTAAAAATCATAAACTTTGCAGGAAAATCTCTCGTACAACTGCGCAAAATAACCCATGCTCCTATTGCACAGAAAACTGCTTATAGTCAATAATTGCGTCTGAAGTTGGCAATCGCAACATATTTGATTCTACTATGCCAATTTGTCTGAAAAATTGCGAGTGTGCTTTTAGAGCATCCCTGATTCATCGAAACTAACTTTTCAAAAAATTTCGAAACACAAGAAAACTATCATGTAAGTCTTGAAATAGAATGTGAATTCCGCTACAGATTATAATTTGTAGTTGTAGTCGTAATATTTAGACTAAAGTGGAGAAAAAAGTAACGCAACTAGTAATCTGAGAAAAAAAATTTAAAGCTAAATCATTTTCAGGATGAAAAACAAAGCATACAATCAATGTTTATTTCTGAGCGCTTTCGCACATTGTGTGCATCATCAGAGAAACTATTATCTGAAATGGTCGTCATCATTGCGAACGAGTTAACAAAAAAAAACAAAAAACCAAAACAACTGCACTAGTATACGAGTAAATACAAATCTCGCCGATATAAACCGGAACAAAGAAAAGTGTCTATCACAACTTGAGGGTGAGCTGCCGCTGCCTGTATTCTTCGCGTTGGTTCAGTGTCGGTTGTCTCCTTGCGATATACAGGGCCTCGAGCGTTAGTAGTCGTCCTGGATCTTCAGTCTGGTCCAGAATCTTGGAGCAAATTTCTGAAGCGTCTCCGATGCAGTTTTCGAGGGGAGTTCCCACGGGTGAGCTGATACGGGATGTTCTGCTAGTCTGGTCATCAAATACCGTGTCGTCTGACCGACATAGATGGACTTACATCCAGAACAGGTTATTTCGTAAATGACTCGGCTTTTCAGATCATCTGGCATCTTGCTCTTCAGGGCAGGTAAGACCGTTTTCATTTTCCGCGTGGTAAACAGAACGCAGGCCTCTGTGATCTTCCTGATACTTCTACTGAAACGATCCAAAATGTAACATCTATATTCCATCAGCAGAGTGGACGTGACTTCCGTTCTTTCAATTTCGCATCTGTAGCCCTTTGTTCCTTTTGAGTAAACATTTTACTGATTGCGTTTTCGACTATGGGATCGTAATATGGCGGTGGGTTCTGTACAATAAAAGGATAAAAGTTCTGTACAAGCTTTATGTTCAAAATAATATCCAAGTATGCTGGGATGGGTATTTGTCCACCAAAATATCTCAGACTATTGGCGTTCCACAAGGCGATAAATTGTCACCTCTGTTGTTTGCATTATTTTTAGCAGATTTATCTGCAGAACTTAAAAGCACAGGCTGCTTCACGATTTTTTACGCCAATGACTTAGCGATTGGGTCGACTGAACTTGACAGTGTTAAAAACGCAATGTTTGTACTCGAAAAATATTGCCAGAGAAACAGTCTCAGGGTGAATGTTGGCAAAACTAAGGTGGTGAAACACAGAAATGGCGGAAGGCTGGCCAGGACCGACCAATTATTTTTCAACAACACAGAAATCGAATTCAAGGATTCGTTTGAATACTTAGGCATAGTGCTATCCACTAAATTGACAGGTTCCAAGCACCTGGAACATCTCAAGAAAAAAGCCTATGCTGCCTCTTGCTCTATACAATCTAAAGTCCAACTCAGAAAAATTTGTTTTAAGTCCTCGGTTAGACTCTATGAGAGCGTCATATTTTCATCTGCTTCTTACGCTCTCGATGTTTTCAGCGATGTGTTATCACAGAAGGAAAGAGACGAACACTTTACCAAAGTGGCTGGGTTTTATTTCAAGAAATGGATCGCAATAAGTATTTATAGCAGAACACACAAAATTTTGCATTTTTTGTTCAATAATGACTTTTTGGGCTTACAAAACTGTAGTCCTGCGCAGAGGAGAGAAAGAGGTATTTTTTACAGCAATGGTTTTCATCATGTTTTTATGTCATAAAGGGCGCTGTTACGAATCTGCGGACGATGAGTCATGTAGTTTCAAGTACTGCGGTTGTGTGATTATCTCAGATATGCACCTTGACACTTGTGTCGGTTTCTCACAACACAGAACAATCCAGCAAAAAGTCAAGGAAATTTACAGGTTGACACTTGATCCATGAGCGGTACCGATATTGGAAGTGGAACTGAATAAAAACTTTTTTTTCCACTTTTTGTCTCATTGAGATGTTGAATTCACATATTATTAATATGGCGGTGGGTACTGGTTCTTCTCGAACACGAACTTTGCTGAAACTAGTGCATCGTGGAATTTGTTCCAACTCGACGTGGTGTTATTGATGCGACAGACAGTACCTTCTATGATATTTCGCTTGTCAGTTTCGGTGAACATGCCCGGAAAGACAACATGAGACCTGTATCCGTGGGCTTGCTATACCAGGCAGTGCTGAGTTTCCTATCTTTACGTTCCACCATCATGTCAAGAAACGGTATTTTATGGTATTTCAATTTCATGTTTTCTTAGGGTAACCACTATTAACTTGGGCTTTGATTGTTTGTAAATTGATGTTTTAACATTTTTAAATTGATGTTTTATCGTCATTTAGATTAATTTATCGTAAAAATCCTGACGATGCTCATAGTTGCGAAAAGTTTCAAATTTACTTTTAACAAAAATCTCGTTGATTGTTTGATTAAGGCAACTTTTTGTCCCAAATAAATATGCGATTCCCCTTATGGCACAGCCGAAATGTCAGTGGCACGAAAAACACAGTACTAAGCGTCTTTTTTACGAAATCCACAAGAAAAAAAGGGTTGTATTATTCGAGAACTTTTTTTCAAAAAACCGAAAATCCCCTTGCATTTTTCAAAATTCTAAGAGTTGCCATTTTGTTTTGTTGCAACGTGTATCACACACAACATTCGGTTAGGACACGACGGACGCTGTAACATTCGCCTGGGAGTACATAAAGAAAAAAGGAAAAAATTAAAAGGGGCCTTTCCGTTTAGGTACGGTCGTGCACAAGCTGGATAGGGCCTATACCAGCATTAATAGAATATAAGAATTTTAAAATTATAATTCAAACGATTTCGCACATTCTGTGTATCATCAGGATTAAAAATTTTTTTACAATATTTACAAAACGATCAAAGATCTGAAAAAAGAGAAACGTGTCTAAAAAGGCTCTAATTTTTTTTAACAATCAAATTAGAACAACTGTAATTACATAATATAATTACGTAATCATGAATATCATTTTTCTGTAAATTTCTGAGATTTTTTAGTTTTTTGTTCTTTCTGGTTATAAAATTTCGATTTGGGAACATTTTTGTTTCTGACATGTCAGTTTTTTAAATTTTAGCCATGTTATACATAGACTATAATTTTATTGTTAATTCCCGGCTCCTGAATTCATCGCGTGTGTTGGTCTTCGGCCTCTCCCTCCAAATATGCAAAGCCTCTAGTGTCAGTAGCTTATGAGTGTTGGCTGTTTGGTCTATAATCTCTGACTTCAGCTCAGCAGTACCGCCTACCTCCTTATTACATTCTAACAAGTGTTGTCCTACTGGGGAGTCCCCTTTGCCGTGTTCATCGACCCTCGTGGCTAAATGTCGGACCGTCTGACCGACATATGTGGAGTTACATCCACTACATGTAAGCTTGTACAGCACTTTGGATCTCAGTTCACGAGCAAAGGAAGTTTTGAGGGATGGCAAGCATGTTTTCAATTCTCTTGTTCTAAAAATTATTTGTGCCCGGATATTAGCCGAACCTTTGCAGCTAACAGTTGAGATGGATTGCCTCGATTTTGCATTGTAAGAAGGGGTGGTGAATCTTTCAACCATTTGTCATTTCTCGGTTCTGATGCCTTCACCTCTAAATTTTTCTTTCCCTCAATGATCTTGTTAAGAGTTTCAAACACTACCTTTTCAGACAATTTTTTGGATATTGATTTTCAATCCATAGTTTCCGATTTTTTTTCCAATGCCTGGTCAAAATACTCCCATGTTGAGGTACTTCTGAAAACCCGATGAACCGTCCCTTCAATAACGTTTCTCTTGTAATGCAAAGGTGCGCATCCTCTGAAATTTCGAACGGTGCCGGTATCAGTGGGTTTTTGGTAACAACCACATTCGACCTTTTTTGCTGAATTCACGTTGACATTTAAGTCCAAAAAGGCCAAATTAGCGTGACTATCGAGTTCTTCTATGGTGAACTGCAAGTTTGGATGCAACTTATTGGCAGCCTCGAGAACTACCCCAGGATTGCCCTTGACCGTTCTAACTATGTCGTCCACATATCTTAGAAAAACTTTAACACCATTCACAGTTCGATCTGCTTCCCGTTGTTTTTTGCAAGTCATGCAATACCATACTGTTTCAGCGATGTCTGCGTATTCGGATTCCAATATGTTACCACACCCTAAGTGGTACCAATTCAAACAAGCTTCGCATTCTACTCCTTTTGTCCGATATGTCACCTTTTTTGACATCTAGGGCACACTTCCTTGTTACCGTCTTTTAGCACAGTCAATTTTGGTACTTCTTTCTTTAATACAGGTTCGTATTCTTTGAGCCACAAATTAGCCAATATTACTACAAGGGAGGCGCCCATTGCTAAACCGTCTTTTTGTACATACCACAAACCATTGCATTTAAAGTGTACCTTACTCACTGCCAAATTCAGTAGTTTTTTCATAGTCTTGCGATATGTTTCCGGAGGGTTGACTTGCTCATATAATCTCCTCAGGGCTATTTCAACCGCTTCCTTGAGCGGGACATTAGTGTAACAACTCTTTACATCAAGGGAGATTATACTCTCGTCAGATTCCAACTCAGTTTTCTCCAAGATCTCCCTGGCCATTTGAGTGTTCGTTTCTATGTTTGCCCCCTCAATATCATCAAAGTACTTTGCCAATGTTTTATTTAGGTTGTCATATGAGCTACCAGGTAAAGAAAGGACGGGACGAAGTGGTGTGCCTTGTTTGTGTACTTATGCTACTCCATACAGTCTAGCCGGCTGCGCTCCCGTTGATCTCAACC